AAAAAAAAAAAAAAAAAAAAAAATCAAACATATGCCTACGTGATGACCTAGCAATTCCACTCAGGCACACGAGAAAAATGAGAACACATGTTCACACACACACACAAATACACACGTGTACTCATGCACACACACAGAGACTTACAGAAAAATAAAAAGCCTTCTTCATAATACCAAAAAGTGAATTAATCCAAATGCTCATTAATAAGAGAATGAATAAACAAATTGTATATTCATAGAAAAAAAAAAGAGCGAACTACTGTTACATGCAAACCACTTGGATAAATCTTAAAAACATTAAGTTGTATAACAATACCAAGCACAAAGAGTACATACTGTATAATTCTATTTAAATAAAGTTCAAGAACAAGTAAGACTACTGGATGTTAACTGAACTTACTGTGATCATTTCACAATATATAAACATCAAGTCACTCTGCTGCATACCTGAAACTAATACATGTCAATTCTACCTCAATTTTTAAAAAGACTATGGTAATGGAAATAAGAATATCTCTTACATCTGGAGGTGGGTATTGGTTGGAAACATGCACAAGAAAATGCTCTATATGACACCTCTGTTCCACATCCGTCATCACATTCTATCTCTGAACCATACCCAGGATCCTCTACTTCTCCTGATCTCCACTGTTCCCACCCTAGTCCAAGTCTCAACTGTCTCTGATGTACATGCCAGAAAAAGGACCCTTCTGCCTGAGGAGTAAATGAGAGGACTCGTTAGGTAAGAGTGGTGTTCTCTATGTGAATGAGTTGGAGCCATTACCACAAAACTTTCATTCCCTATTGATTCAGGATTTTAACTTAACCTGATTGTCTTTTGTGCTACTTTAAGATTTTTATGACTCTTCTGGAGCCTTAACCATAGAATGTAACATTGTTTCTATGGGAAAATGCATTTTGATTTTCAACAATTGTTTAGAAAACTTTTTAGAACCCAATCATTCCCTCACTGGGGAGTTGTCCCTTGTTTTATTTGTTTTGTTTTGTTTTGTTTTGTTTTGTTTTGTTTTGTTTTAATAGTTTAATAGAGAGTGAGCAGGGGATTTAATAGTTTAATAGAGAGTGAGCAGGGGAGAGGGACAGAGGGAGAGAGAGAGAATCCTAAGCAGACTCCAAACTCAGTGTGGAGCCTGATGCGGGGCTCCATCCCACAGCCCTGGAATCAGGACCTGAGCCAAAATCAAAAGTCCGATGCCTGGGTAGCTCAGTTGGTTAAGCATCCAGCTCTTGATTTTGGGTCAGGTCATGATATCACAGTTCCTGGGATCGAGCTACGCATAGGGTTTCATGCTGACAGTGCAGATCCTACTTGGATTTTCCTTCCCTCCCTCTCTTTCTCTCTCTCTCTCTGCACCCCTCCCACACTCTGTCTCTAAAAAAGAAAAAAGAGTTGGACACTCAACCAACTGAGCCACCCAAGTGCCCCATTAATAGTATTTTAAAGTATCTTTAAATCTTTTAAATGGATTTATAGTCTGTGTTTCTAACCATCTTTGAAAATCACGAAGGGCAGGGTCTTCCATTGCTCGTTCTATAACAGTATGGTGTGCAGCCAGGAGCCATGGGAAACACAGCATGGATGCTTGCCCCACGTTTCATCTCAAGTGAGCTGATTCACAGAACGTGTCCTTCAGATTACGCTTGAACGAATCTCTGTATCCGCATCTCGTGCAAGGGTTTACCACATCTGTATTTGTTTCTTAGAGCAGCTCTAGCTGCCACAAGTTTAGTGGCTTGAAACAATACACATTTATTCTCTTACATTTCTGGAGACCAGAAACCCAAAATGGTATCTTTGGGCCCCAAATCATAGTGTCTGTACAGCTGTGCTCCCTCCAGAGGTTCTAGGGGAGAATCTGTGTCCTTACTTTTTCCAGCTTCTAGAGTTGCATTCTGTGGTTCCTGGGCCCTTCCTCCGTCTTCAAAGTCAGCAGCATACCATCCGCCTTCAACCATCCACGTGGCCTTCTGTCTCAAAAATCAAACCTTCCTCACTTTCCCTTTTATGGGGACACCTCTGATTACATTAGTCTCCCTGGATAATCCAGGATAATCTCCTCATCTGAAAGATCCTTACCTTAACCGCATCTGCAAAGTCTCTTTCGTTATATAAGGTAACATCCACAGGTTCTTTGGATTAGAACATGGATCTCTTTGGGACCATGTTTTCCGTCTACCACAATGCCTGTGCTTGATCTCTTCAGGTCCTTTCGGTATGATTTTTTCCTCCCTCCTCTGTGCCTAACAAAAAACCTAGCCCATAGCAGGCGTAGAATAGCTGCTACTATGCTGTAAGTGACTCCTGTAGTAGCCAGGGTTAATTGATGCAGGCGTTACTACCATAACAAATCTCCAAGTGTTAAGTCAACAAATGTATATTTCTCACTCATGTCACAGTCCGGTGCTGATCAGGCAGATTTCCTTGGAAGTTCTTCAAACAAGATCTAAGCTAAGCTCCTTCTTTTACGGCTGCCATCTTAAAAGAAGTGGCCTCCAAAGCGCAATATTTATTGCATGAATGTAAAATGCAGACTTAACAGAATTAGGACATGGGAGAACCTCTGACTAGAGGTAAGGCTATGTTGTTCAAAAGCCCCTCCTGGGTTAGACCTTTGCAGAAACTCCTCTGGACAATTCCACATGTATGCACACACACATGCATATATGCATGTACACACACTCCTTCAAAAGCCTCATATATATTACCTTGGAATTAGTCACTGTCATCAATCCTGTTATTTGTGTTACTGTTCTTTCCCAATAGCATGAGTAACTGGGTAGAACCTACCCGTATTTTAGTTTGTACGTATTGTTACAGCCCCGTGAAGAAATCCTCTCATTTGCAAACTGGCAGTTAGACCAAACAGAATTTGAGTCAAGGCTTAAAACATTTTACAAGTAATTTAAAAATAATACAAAACATATTTTCCAAATTTAAAAGTAATTGGGTGGCTCAGTTGGCTAAGCATCCAACTCTCGGTTTTGGCTCAGGTCATGATCTCACAGTTTCCTGAGTATGAGGCCTGTGTGGGGCTCTGTGCTGACAGAGCAGAGTCTGCTTAGGATTCTCTCTCTTCTCCCTCTTTCTGCCCCTCCTCCGCTCATGCTGTCTCTGTCTCTAAATAAATAAATAAACTAAAAAAATTGTTTTTAAATGTTTATTTATTTTTGAGAGAGAAAGAGCACAAGCAGGGGAGGAGCGGAGAAAGAGGGAGACACAGAATCTGAAGCAGGGTCCTTAATTATTTGTAATTGACTGCAAAACACTAAGTAGTAAAGAACTAAAGTAATATTACATTTTAAAATATTAAGTTTTAAAAGTAATTCTTGCATTGTTCTGAAATTGTAAAAGTAAATCAATAAGGGAGAGATTAATATGCAGTTTGTAAAAGTATTCACTGTTTTCCTGAACCTAGGCATCTCTAGTACATTCAAAATTATCCAATTTATGAATAACTCATTTGTAAATTAAACTGCGTGGTTTGCATCCTTGCCTTTCCACTTACTGGGAAGATGAGGGTGATGATATGCTTGCCTCATGTGGTTGCTGAGAAATTACATGGGTTCACTCCCATCAGGCTTTTTGAAACACACAAGGTGAGTCCTTGAGAAATGATAATTATCGGTCCATGGAGGATGCTTTTGGGGGAGGCCAGCAAGTCAAAACCCAGGGCTGACATTATTGACATCAAACCATCTTAAGCCAAGTTGACTGAGAGAGTAAGTAGAAGGTAAACAGATGGATGGCATCAGCCACTGCTTATCTCCAACAACCCTTCACATCTGTCAGAGCAGACTCCTGGGTTGGACAGGCGCTGATTCTGACTCGGTGTGTGAAATCCTACATCCCTTACACTGGCCTCCTCTGCATGATTTTACATTTGAAAAAAATTGTTTTTTTTTTTTTT